TTTTGCTTCAACTATATTTTTGCTCTTCAAAAAGCAACATTTTATTTGCAAAAAAAAAAAATTTATTATTTTTTCAATAAACGTCGCTTCACTCAAAATGATATAATTCACAAGTTAATGGTCCGACAGCTAGCTAAACATCATGTGGATTTAATTCTAGTAGCGTCATCTATGAATCAGGCCGGGGTCTTGAAAATAGTACTGTTATTTGGCACCAATTTCAGATTTAACCAATAACCACTCCCCGTTTTCACCTGATATGGCATCGTGCGACTTCGTCCTTTTCGGAAAAAAGCATTTGAACATGAAAGGAAAACGTTATGCAGACGTAGAGGTTTTTGTTTTCTAAGTCCTGTGTACTTTGGAACACACTTTGTGTAATGTTCAGATCGGATCACTTAAGCATGTAGTTTCCATACAATCTGACCGACGAAATCATGCCCTTATATTGGAAACATTTTATTTGTAAATGGTATTAAAACTTTGTGTTTTCTGATTATCCTTAATAACAAAGCTTCTTATTCAATCATGGAGGTTAGTAAATTATTTCGAAGCCACCCAAATTTGGATAATTCTTGCTTGTGTTCCAATGTTCTGAATATATTTTGCAAATAAGTCTGTGAGCATGCCTTGAATACCATTATTCCACCTACAATATATATGTAGGTAGGTATTATTTACAACCGCGAGATAAAGTTAAGTATTTCTAATCCACTTACAAACAGCACTCCGCCACACCACATGGCAAATATAAAATATAACAACAGCAGCAACATATTAAATAAAATGAAATTGAAATGTGAGTGAATGAATGTGAAAAATAACGTTTTACAACAGTTTGACTACAAATATTTCACTCAACCAGCCATCACACATTATTTACAAATATTTAACTTACGTCTGCTCCAACCTCTCCCGGCAGCTCGCTTGGCAACATTTTACGTTTAAAAAGCTCAGTTTTTATTATATCGGACAGCACAGCCACCCAGAATAATCCTCTTTATGGCTGTGTCAAATGACTGGCATATTTCGTTCACTCCTGCTGACCTTGAAATTGGCAAAACGGTGTCAGAGCAGGCCACAGTAAAGTGCCAGGGGGAATTCGATGAATTTATATGTGAACCAACGACAAATGTGAGCGATAGTGGGCGGGGTAGATTATGTGAGGTAGATTTTCACAGATAAACTGAATAATGAACGGTGCACAACGAACACAGCAGCGTTTCGAAAGTCTGTGGTATTTATCTCACTCCATGCGTACCAAATATTATTATTCAAGATGTTAAAAATTGTTTTCGCGAAGACCTGAGGTGAGGAGTTGTGGGCAAGCGGCAAATAATTGCAAATAATATTCGACCCGACAACTTTTTAACTGCGTTTGAAATATTTTATTTTCCACGAATTCTGGCCGCAATGCTGATGGGTGACAAAGAAGACGGAATTGTGGCCAAAAAAGTTGTTTGTTGCCAAGCAATTTATTGGTTTCATTATTCTTAGAAATACTTCGAAAAAGTTGTCTGCAATTGATCAATATGAATTCAGTTGAAAGTTATGCAATTAATGGCTTCCACAAATAAGTGTGATTGCAAGGGATATTCAATTTTATTACTCAAGCATTAACACTCATATAACATCTTGAAAGTAAGTAATTAAAATTACATTATTTGTTCTGTTTCGATATATAATTAAATTATATGCTTTGGAAAGCTTTTCCGGTACATTGCTATAAATGCAGATATAATAAAAAGAACTAAGCTCATTGGATTACAAGTAGTATTGAGAAATGTTGCTACAATACCGAACATCAAACAGTAAATTTTTACTGCTTGCACAAGGAGTGTGACATGATTTTCAAATTAAATTACTTAAATATAGATAATACCAAGTAAGAAAGCGCTAAGTTGGGATGTAACCGGATTTGTCATACTTCTACAGCACAATAATTTAACTCACAGATTGACTGGTACTTTCAATATAAAGTTTGCAAGTGGAATTTTGATCGACGAATTCGGTATCCGGGGACTTTAATAGTTTTGGTCCGAGTGGACACTTTTTGGTCATAAGGTGGACTACTTTATGCGCACCATTCCGGCAAGCTTTTATCCCGATACATTAATAGGTGTTAGACTAGAAATGGAATTTAAAATTGGATTATATTGGATATAGGTGTAGTTGTAGTCAGACTTATATAATTATATACCAAATTTAATCGATATCGGTTGACTAGGTCCGGAGGTATGGTTCATTTTTGATGTGGGATTCTACAAAGGGCTGCTGCATCATCCCAGGTGCGAAATTAAAATTTTTAGTAGTTTTTAGCGGAATTGTCATACAAGAAGTGACCGTCCGATTTTATTTATTTTTATTGTGTCTGAAGGGTGCTTAAGGAGTTTGACCTGAGCGATTCAGATTATTATAGTTTGGGTGATATATAAGATATTAAACTGCTTAGAGGGCGGGGCTAGTCTCATTTTGTCCCAAAATTCCCAAAATTTTTAGCCCACTGCAATCTCCTGTATCAAAGTTCCGTAATTTTTTTTTGTACTATACATGCGTTCCAAGCTTCGTCAGGATATCTCAATTTCTACTCAAGTTTCAGCTTGCACAGACGGACGAACGGACGGTCACAAAGATATTCGGATTGCATATAATCACTATATCTATCTTAGGGGATACAAACAACCGTTAATTGATAAATAATATATTGCAAGATTATTATACCCTTCACACGCACATTTCTTACAGGAACTAAGTCTGAAAACATAACCGGGTAACGGTTAACGTCAAGAGTTGCCAGTACAGGTACGTATTAGGAGTTTGGCCTTGGAAGAGTTGCTCGCAGTTCCTGCCAATCCCACCAAAGGATTAGAACTTATCTGAGAACTCGAATGTTTCGGTGCGATTTGGACCCAGTAAAACCTCCTTTACTGTCAATTTTGACTATATTACCCTTTGCGCCGACTCTTCGCGATTTCACCACGACCGTTTTTGCTCGACGTTGTCGTAAGTAATTCACTGTTCATCACCAGTAATCATCCGCTGCAGATATTAATTGACTTTGTGGCGCTTCAACAGCAATTCACAGATGGAAAATTGGTTAATGGTGATTCTTGTGTCAACATTTGTGAGATACAAAGTGTTTCTTTTTAAATCTTGATGTGCCGGGATAGGTACTATTCTTCTTCTTCAATGGCTGCGGAATGAGAACGGGTGGGAGCGTAGGTCAACTACCAGCAGCTGTAAAATGTACGAGGCTTGAAGTAGATGGTGAAACCGATTCTGCAATCGATCGAGCAGACATTCCATTGCCCGACCATGGAGAAGTTCGAATAACAAATAACCGTCTGAAAAACAACAAAGCGTGGGGGGCATGCAACAGCTTTTTTATAAAAATATGTTCGGACGAAAGCAGGCCCGACGATTGGAATTTAAGTGTGCTCTGCCCAACCTACTATAATTTTATCAAGCGTATTGTGTGAAAAAAAATAAAGCCACCGTTAAAAAACTGATTGCAGCTTATCAGTGTGGTTTCAGGCTTGGACAATCAGCTACCGACTAGATATTTACCACGAGCCAAATCCTGGAAAAGACCCGTGGAAAGAGAATTGACACGCACCACCTCTTCGTCGATTTCTCGGCTGTTTTTGGAGCTACCTTTTTGCCGCGATGTCTGAATTTGGTATCCCCACATAACTAATACCAAAAGCACTGTCAGAATCAGAAAGGACCTCTCCGAGCCGATAGATGCCAAACGAGGTTTCTGACAAGTCGACTCGATATTGTGTGACTTCTTCAATCAACTACAAAAGAAAATAATTCGAGCAACAGATTTTAATAGAGATAGAGAAATAGAGAAGGTACAACCTTTTAAAAGAGTTTACAGCTATTGAGGTACGCCATTCACATCGATATCATGGGCCTCAAGAACCGCACCGTTAGTTCTGCTTTTTCAGGCTGGTTAAGGAAGCGAGACAAATGCGTGTGGTAGCGAATGAAGGCAAGACGTAATAACTCCTGTCATCAAACACACAGTTTTCGCACTTGCGACTTGGCTCCTACATCACGGTTGACAGTCATAACTTCAAAATCGTAAATAATTTCAACTATCTTGGAACCAACACTACCAACAAAGGCAGCATTGAAACCAAACGCTGAATAACTCTTGCCAAAAGGTGCTACTTCGGACTGAGGAAGCAATTGAGAAGTATATGTAGTCCTCTTTACACGAGCAAAGACCAAATTCTACAAGTCACTCATCATCCCTGTCGTACTATGTGGTGCAAAGCATGGACGGTGGCAACACCTAATGACTCGACGTTACGAGTTCTCGAGAAAATTTTCTGCCGAAGATTTATGAACCTTTACACATTTTCAACAGCGTATGCCGCAACTGATGGCATAGTTCAGCAAAAGATTTCGCCACCTTCACTAATCCCTTGATAGCCACGCACTTAACTCAGCAACAGCCAAAGTTTATTGCTTATCACCCTCAACCAATGGTAGTTTGGCAATAAAAGATAGAGAAATGAGTGAAAAAGTTGTGCAAATACTGTCATAATTGTTGCTCGTAATAACAATAAAGTGCCGAGAATATATTGACATCAAATGCAAGGCACACTTACGAAGCCAAAATCTATGACGCACAACTTTAAATCACAGTTACATCTTCATGCAGCAAATGTACACAAAACTTCAAGCACACACACGCAAACTTAACCAGCACACAATGCATTAATTATGAAAATTTGTTTACGTTCACAGTGAGTCACTCAGTCATTCAGTCAGGCAGCCTGGCAGCCTGGCAGTCACTCAAGCAGGAAGTTGGGCACTAGCGAAAATAAGAAGAAGGCACTGAAGCGTTATTTCGCAGGCTTTCACCTCTTTTCAGTCAATGAACTCACGCCAGTATGCCTGGCACTCACACACACACACACATACACTCATAAAATAATTGTCGCTCTCGCTGCCCATCATTTTAGCATAGCAGAACTTTCACTTACTCCTTTGCCGCTGCGGCCACGAACGCGCAGAGGCCAAAAAACTTCACCAATCCTTATTTATACGTATGTATATTTCACTATCCTTTTATTTTGCTTTCGTTTCTTTATTGTTTTCTTTTTTTATTTGTTTCACTCTTTATTTTCTACACATTTTGCTTTCTAATGGTTATTCAGTTTTGCATTCGTTTGCAGTTATATACACCGAACGATTGTAATACGAGTAATATTGGAGAGCTGGTGGTGGGGTGGAGTATAGCTACTCACACGCTTACACTTCGCATTCAATGGAAAGCACCGTTGTGGCTTACCACACCACATCCTACCCACATAGCGCCGCACAAGTACGGAGTGGAGAGCAGAGCCTTATGTGTTCGTATCCACTTGGTGTGTCGGTATCGTACGTGTGTATGTGTGAAAGGATGCGTTATGCTATGTATTACTGCAACCACTTTGAACTTTACTAGGGTCGAAGGAGCGCGCGCGCTTTTCCTTACTTAACGCGTTTTTACGGGACTTTCTGGAACTTCGAACTTTCCTGACTGATTCCTTATCGGCTACTAAGCACTTCGGCAAAGGTCCGGGTATTTTATGCGCTGCAAATTGGTCACATTCAACACAGTGCCTTTGCTGGCGACGCTCATCAGCTGAGCTACGAAATGAGAGACTTCAGTTGATGCCTTGCGCCTGTGGAGCACGCACTTCTATGCTGGCTCTCCAATTCGTGGTGAGTTCGCAATTTTGAAGGAAATTAAGAGCATATGCTCGTCTCTTACACGGAGAGGGTAAATTTGTTGTCTAACAAAGTAACAGCTGAGTTTGTTGGGAATTCAAGCAACTACCTTTTTTTATTTTATTCCTTTAATGAGATACAGAAGACAACAACTAACTAAAGTAGGTTTTTTTCCCGAAAATAAAAAGTTAGCGTGGTGTCTTGTGAAAAACTTTCGATCGCTTTGAACTCTTTGAGCCAGCGATACTTAAGATTGTTTCCACATCATTAAGAATTTTGTCTACAGTGACCATGAAATGGAAAAAGTGTTTTAAATTAATATATTAGTTTTTCAAATAATATGTGTGCTAAGCTAGAGATCAAAAAATAGAGATGCTGATAGCGGAATCATTCGTATTACTTCGTTTCGTATCGAACGGCTCGGAGAGGTTTCCTTCTTGGTGTTACAAACATCATGGTAAACTGGTGTTTTAAGCTCAGTTTGGGAAATTCCTTTAATTGTAATATGAGTTAAGCCCCAGTTTCTTTAGAGTGAGATATACTATTATCTAGATCTGACAAAATAAAAGGCAATGCTATAAGAAGCGTAAATCGGAGGAACTCTTCACTAGTTCCGTTATTACCGAAAGGTTCAACTTCACTATAGTTTTTTACCACAACTCTACAAAGCAAAATGATCCTGGGGTCACAACATTTTCTGCGAGCATCTTAAAAAGAACTGGAGAGGGTTCAACTGACATTTCGAAAGGAAGCGGAAGGCATTAAGACTACGATAGCGAAGTCAAGAATTAGACTTCCGGTATCCACACGTAGCTTTTAAAGCATCTTTTAAGTCGTTAGTAGAACAGGCAAAAAATTACAGCACCATAATTACAGGGAACATATGCGTATATAAGAACGTCTGGAGACGTTATGAATGGACCTGTAGTACCGAACTATATAAAAATAAAAGGAATTCATTTGAAGACCAGTCTTACTAGGAAAATGTGGTCACATCTAAGCCGATAGAAGTAATCCCAGTCAGCACTTGGATTAACAAACCTTTCGAGAAAAGGTTAACAAAAAAAATTCTGCTGCTACAACAACATCAACACCGCAAAAGATGACATCATTATTCCCGAATAAACAGAGCCGGCTAAATTTGAACTTGGTAGACAAATATTTCAATTTAGAATTGTAGTTTAGAAAAAAAAAGAAACAGAAGTTACTTATGACTCCGCACTCGAAAAAGGTCGTTTTTGAAGTAAGTCAGTTCTTCGTCAATTTATCCTCATCATGCTTGTGGTTTTTCTGATTTCCTCCCAAAGAGTTGAAGTGTTCACTCAGTCTTTGGCAAAATAGTGAAAACTGAAATATTTTAAGCGCATCACTATACTGATCGCCGGCAGGACTAATCAAGCGGCCAACATGCACTCAACTCATGCCATTACACTGCAATAAATTTGATTAGCCAGCATCTTCTGCAATTAAAATATCCACTCAGTAAATTATTTTTCGCTTCACTGTCACGTTCCGCGCTCGCTCGCACGGCAATTACACCGTCCGCAATTGCATTTAATTACGCACCTGAAGCAACGGCGCACTATTTAAAACAAAAACAACAACAAATTAAATGGACAGAAACTGACAAAAACAAGGAAGCAAGAAGCACAATAAAGCAATAAAATCGTAGGACAAAGCCAAGGCGAAAACCTTACTCCTTACACGCCGCCCGGTTGGACTTTGCCATTATTCTTCCACTTTATGTTGTTATTGTGTCACTTTGTTTGTACAATATGTATGTAAGCGACAGGTTGAACATATATGAGCAGCCAGTGTCGCCAGAGTGTCATTGTCAACGCCGCGGCAACGTCACCTTATCGCCTTTGATGTGCGCCACAGGCCGCGCCTTGTTGCAGATAATTATGTACCGTTGTTTTTAATCTGCTTAAACTACTCAATGGAACTGGAAAATTGCCGGGAAACATCAATAATATCGTATATCCTGCATGTGCCAGCAGACAAAGAAAATTGCGGAAAAAACAACACTAATCATTGCTCTATGTGGTTACTTAGAACTTACTTTATTGTCTGTTGTTAGTAGCAACAACATCAACAGTATTCGTTTTCAGCCATAACAGGGAAGCGGCTACTTTTGTGATGCATAAGCCTTGAGGCAAGGATTATGGCACAACGAGGGTGCATGGCTTGGTTATATATGCAAACTAGGATGGTTCTTAAATGACTGGCCCATGTTTTAAGAACAGTTTTTCTAACAGTTCACATTGGTTATTGCCCAAAAATTTAAACATAGCATGACTATAATTGCACTGTTTTGAATATTTAATATAAAATTATAATAAGGGAACATCTTGTTAGAAACAAAAAAAGAATTTTTTGGCCAGTATGTATATATRTATATGCTATATTGGACCGATCTAAACAATTTTTGAGGAGATTCAATCCTTGCCTTATACAATAAGCCAAATAAAATTTCGTGAATATGTTTTGTCAAATGAAAAAGTGTTTCCAACAAGGACTTGAATCCGCTCGTTCGATTTATATGGCAGCTACGTGCTGTAATGGTCCGATATAGACGATTCCGTCAAATGGATAGGCTTTAGGAGAGATAAGGACATGTGCGAAATTTCAAATCGATATCTCAAAAACTTAAGGATATCATAAAAAATCCAGTTTTAGCCGAACAAAACCAACCAAAGTTTTGGGTAAAATTAAGTTTTTGGCTTAAAAACGTGGGTCATCGTAAGTACAATATTCTCTACAAATGTGTTTTGTGAATTGTATTCAAGGATAAACCGGGATTACTGCTGTGGTAGAAAACAAAGACTACAAAGACGGGCGATAGATCGATGAAAGCATGCCTCGACTGGACAGCCTTTGACCTCTTCAACCAATGAAAATATTAAAAAAAGTTAAGGATAATAAAAGGATAGTTAAGGATAATAAAAGGAAATAATAAGGAAATCTGTCAGGCAAGTGTTAGAGAGATGGCAAGAAAGCTTGACATCTTTCGCGAGTCCGTTCGAATGATTTTTATGGACATTTTGAGTATGAAACGCTTTCTTCCTCAACTCGTCGCGATAAAGCTAAACTTTTTTCAAAAGAGTGCCGTAAAAAATTCTCTTCGGACCGGCTTGATCGTGTGAGTTCCGGTCCCACATTCATGGAGAGTGTTATAACTGCCGATGAGACGTGGGCTTTTGAGTTTGACATGCAAAGAAGTCAACAAACTGTAGGGGAAAAAACCGAGCCGAAATCAAAAAAATATGCCAAAGCCTCTCAAAATTCACAGAGATGCTCTTTGTTTTTTTCCAAATTAGTAACATGAATTTTTTCCAAAAGGACATACGGTCAATAAGAAGTACTACCTTGCCGTATTGAAGCATTTGCGTGAGAAAATCTGTTAAAAATTACCGGAATTGTGTAAGAACAATTCATGGATTTTACACGATGCCACTGCACCATCGCTTCTAGCCACGATGCTGACCAATACCATTAATCAACCACCAGATTTGGCTCCGTGTGATTTTTTCTTGTTGCCCAAACTTAAATTGCTGCTCTTTGGAGCCCGTATATAGTCGATCGATGAAATAAAACCAAATTCACTGAAGGCAATACCAAAAAGTGTTTATGAAAAGAGTTTCGAGGATTGGAAAAATCGTTCTCATAATTGTGTTACATCTGGTGACGAATACTTAGAAGGCGTCAAAATAAATATTGATGAATATTTTATTATTATGTTTTATTTACAATTTCAAAGTACTTTATTTCACAACATATATAGTTATCCGATTTGCTTTGTTTTCACTACCATTGCTGAGTATGTGTCTGCAAAATTACGAGGTAAATAAAATAACTGAATAATAGGCTGTTGGGAGATGTGATCTCCCAATCTGATCAGACCGATTCCGAAAAATTATCAATAGAAACTCAAAAAGCAGCAATGTATTAAATTTCATTCCAATATCTCGAAAATTTACGAAGCATTTTTTATGATTTGTGAGCTTTCTGGCACCCCTCTTAAATATAGCGAGTTATTCGCTTGCCACTCGTTGATTTGCTCCAATATAATGCGAAGTGTGGCAATATGATCCGAACAAGATTTGGAAAGCCTACTTATCGCTTCCTCAGCGAACCTTCTAGATAAGCTTGTATTCGGTTTTGAAGAAGTTTAGTGCGAATTTTTCATGGCATGCTGATCAATTTGATAATAAGTAGAAGTACGATTGTACAAATCGCGCACGCGAAATTTTGAAGGCCCGCACTAATGTAGTAAATATGTTAAGTGCTTGCAGGAATACATAAGTGAGTCAGCCGGTGCACATTCACACACACATACATATATCGAATTGTATGCAGATTATGCAAATTTACAATAATGTTGTGCTTGTACATATTTGTTCCGTTTACACACACACGCGCATATAATAAATCCCGTTTTGCACCGCATTTGCATACACAAATAAATATTTTGTATGGTATATGGACAGTTATTAAATGTTTTGCACTCTATCTTTGCAATTTATGCATTTCACTCGTGCAACATTTAGTGCTCCATACAAAACTCATTCAAACCTTTCACACATACATACAAATACAAGCACACAATGCAAGGCAAAGGTCAGCTTGAGTTAGACAAATGACTTAGCACAATGCGATGCATTGAGTTTTGCCACTAAAAGCGAAATAAAACGATGAAGGGAAAGCAATTTATGACAATTTGTAGCCCACATTACCGTTCGTAAACACTGTGAGGGTGTCGTTCGATAAATTATGAAATTATGTGAATTTATCAAATAAAATTTGTTTCA